GGGATGCAGAGAGGAAAAAGACCAGCCAACTGTACTATTAGAGATTGCTTCAATCTTTCTATCTCTCTGTGTCTGCCTCAGAGGATGGATTGATCTCATCGCTCTATAGCTGAGAGTCAAACATCTGTCTGCCTCCCTCCCCTCCCTCTTCCTCTGTCAGCCAGCCAGTGTCTCCCAGATCGTCTCCCCTCTTGCTTGCCTCTATTACGGGCATGATGAGGGCAGCTGTGGGACATGCTGTGGAGGATTGGGAGGCTCTTGGATGGATGGTTAGATGGTCTCAGTGTCCCTCAAACCACCAGGACAAAACAGGAGAATTTGGCCAACAAACGGAACCACCATCCTAAAAAAGTCCTAATCATAGATTTCACCTCTTCTTATTTCAGACTTTTGTGTCAAAAATGTTCCTCTAATTCAACAACAAACTCACTTTATGTTCTGTGCTCAAATAAGTGAGTCAAGCTAAATTTATTTTACCAGACACGCATATTTAGCTCTTATTCATTCAGAGCAACTTACAATTAGTGCAGATGAGCTTAAACTCAATCTTCAAATTGTCCAGTATATTAAAGGCCACATGGAACAATATTACTGTGTCCATAAAAAGGCACATACATGGCATACATGAAAAGAGACTGTTGTGTATTTAAAATGTTACATTAAATGTGTTTTCAATAAAGAAATCCTGCATACAGCACTCTGAGACACCATTAATGCTGCATTTCTTTACTGAGAAAAATAAGGCTCATCATCAGAATCCCTTTTGCTTACAAACAGCTGTCTGTGTTAAACACCTTTGAATATAAAAAGCCGTTGACAAGTGAAATATAATTAATTCTGGCAAGGCAAGGCAGAGTCTGTGAAGCGTATACAGTCGTAATGTCTCAGGGATGGCCAGAGGTTTTTCTCTGAATCGCTTCTTCTGCCAGATTCGAAAGAATGCTTTTTCTTTGCTTCAGACAAAGGAACAAACCTGCACTCAGGACTATCCGCTTCAGGGGGACTGAAATAAAAAGATGAATAATGGTGTCATGCATTTTTCTTTGAAAAAGGCATCAAGAATACAGTGAAGCGACACGACAAACAAGTAAATTGTGGCACAAAAGGCAGCGACTGTAAATCTGTCTTTTCTTTACTTTCATTTATATGATTACACATAATTCATTTTTTTCTGTTTCGGAGTATTGTTTGATTAAATACCCCGTACGTAACTACTGTTTAATATTTTCATTGCATGCATTATTAATTTTCCTCTATGTGCTTTGGCAGCATATCTTTTAATCAAAATGTCATGCCAACAAAGCTTCAGTGAACTGAATAGAATATAGAGAGAATTGGAGTGTAAAATATGGGATCTACAGCGACCTCCAGAGGTGGGAAGTAGAAAGAAAGTTAAATAAAATGCTGTATTTACACTGAAACAACACACAAACTACCCGAGCACTGTCTGAAATGTGTGCTGTATAATTCTTATTGAAGGAAACAAAAGATCAATACAACAGTTTGAGGATCTGAGGAAGGTCTGACTGATTACCTTTAAATAAATGAGACTATTTGTGGGTGTGCGCTTTTACAATTTCTCTCAGTTTTTAAGTCGAAAAAGAGAACTAAACCTTCACACAAACGTGTCGTCTTTTGCTGTGGACGTACATACAAGCTCTGCTTTGCATATTGGACTTTTTATGTATTTTACTTCCTTCTGCTTTGTCTTTAGTTTTCAGTTTAGGCACGATGAAATGGTAGTACAGATAATTTCAAACATCAGGCTGGCTGTGCTTATTTAGCGCACAGATAGACACAGACACAGACAAAGACACACTCACACACACGCACACGCACACACACACACACACACACACACGCACGCGGCTATATTCTGGCATCTGTCAGTGGCAAAACAATATGTGGATCAGAGAGGGGAACACAAGAGCGGTGGAAGAAGACGTTTAGAAAATTGCAGAGGAATCTCTGGAGGCATTCACACACACACACACACACACACACACTGACACATACGTACACGATTTCAATGCATTCAAGGCTATCTGAGGAGCATCTTTCTCTTTACAGCACCGTCTATACATAGGAGCTACAAAAGAGACCGTCTGACAGCGAGGCGTGTCTTCCATACAAGCTGATAAAACATTACTCTAAAATGAAGCTTGATGTTTAATGAAATATGCAATTACCTCAAGACTGGTTGGACTACTTTACATGTATTGCTTGAATTAGCGAATACTTTTGAAAGTCTGTCTCTAAATCCACTCTTCTGTCGGCCTCATGTTCTGCGGCTCCTGCCCGTGAGCCCAGTTGTATTAGCCCGCAAGAACAAGGGGCTCATTGTGATGCTCGGGTAACGTGGACGCCCAAATTGACAGACACATAACAGGGTCATCATTCATTTGCATTTTGAACAAGTCCTTCAGCTATGACACCGGATCGTGTGAATCATTACCACACAGGGCTGCAGTTCATCCAGCCATCTATTAGTAACGCCAATTAGTTTACTGGGACAGGTTTAGGGGAGGCGGACTCACTCAGGCAACTAGAGCTGCCCAAACTTTTTCATGTCAAGGCTCCTAGGACAGACGTTTGATTAAGCTTTTTGTCTCAGTGACCCACATTTTAAAAGGAAAATTAAAAAATTAAAAATGTTAGATATGATTTTACAGCAGCAGAGTGAAACCTCTTAATGTTAAAGTGTCATAAACATTTATTTGGTCTAATCATAGCATGACTACCGCCCCTACAAATGATCAGATTTATTTTCAATCTAAGCTGGTTACGACACAATTAACTGGTTGTTCATTGTGTTTCCGGGGCCTCTTTTAAGTCCCCTGGGTGTACCTTGGTTTGAGCACTTGCAATTCTAATTGTAATTGTGAGACAGGTTCCTACATTTGCTTTTTTCTTCTCTTGGATGTCATGCAGAAAACGTACAACTCGTATGTCTCCGGCTCTTCATGCTGCCGTTCTTCATAAAACAGGTAATAAAAAAAAAATCTAACCTCGAGCAGATATATGAGAAAAATACAATCTCACATAAGGCTGTATATAAACTGCAGGGTCCCATGTTGAAGACCACTGCAGTGCAAAACAAGAATATGTGTTGTTTTTCTCAGTGAAGCTACAGATCCAGTCCAGTAGTAGTTGCAACAACCTGTTCTTTCAGGTTGGTTTATTGTAAACTGAAACGTACAGGTTAAACAGGCCTTGCCACACGGACAGATGTCATTTCTTCAGCAAGGCACAGGAATGTTGAGGGCGATACTGGGACGTCTAACCTGTTGTAATCATCAGAGTATTAATTTAAAGAAGACAATCTGAAGATTCGTTTGGGAGATTTTTAAGATGTTTCTGTCAAATCGCTTTTAATATGCAATAAATCAAATGAGCACATCTCTGCCTCTATTTTCACAAAACAAACCTGCCTTGTGCGGCTTTATTTTCCACAACATCCACAGTGTTTGTCACTGAGGGGTTTTCCTGCATAGAGCAAAGACTGACAATCTGACAGCACATCACAAACTGAAGGCAGCCATGCATGTAAACCGTAATAAATGCTGTCTGTTTGACGGACACTATCAAGACACAGTGAGACAAAAAGGAGGTAATCCTCAGCACATCTATAATGTGTTTTAATGCAACTGAATGCCATAAGTCAAATACCATAAACGGTGAGTGTAATAGCAAAGCTAATATTGTACTGGAGGGCTGCATCAAACAATTATTTAACTATAGATTAATCTGTAAATTATTTTTCCCATCAATTAATGAATCGTTTAGTCAATAAAATGTAAATACCCATCACATGAGCTCAAGTTTAGCTCTTCAAAACATTTAAGATGTTCAGTTAAAAGTGACACAAAGAAACAAATCCTATTTAAGAAGTTGGCAACAGAGAATGGTTGACATCTTTACTTTATAAACCAATTAAATGATTAACCGATTATCAAAACTGTGGTGGTATTCAGTGATAGACTAATCAGTTATTTGACTAATTGTGTCAGTACTAGAGTACTGCAAATGTAAGTGAAAGTACTGAGTTCAAATGTTACTTAAGTTAAGTACAAAAGTATTAACATCAAAATATAGCATACTTTAATCTCTCAAAAAAAAAAAACAACCCATAAGAACCAAAAGTAAAATGATGTGTTGAGTAAAAAGTACAATATTTCCCCCTAACATAAAGTGGCATTACTCAAGCCTAAAGTACAGTACTTCAGTAGTAGTATAGTAGTAGTATAGTAGTTACTTTCCACCACTGCAAACAGTTGTTAGCTCTGGAAGTGGTTCACCTGTTTTGTGTCTTTGATTAACACCTTCTTTTTTTTTTTGCCAGCTACAGTCTAACAAAAAGCTGTTATTATTTCAACAATGCAATACAATAAGCATTTCCCCCTCCTGTCAAGGTGCTGCACCTGCTCACATCAGCTCCGCCTCCACTCCCCCCCCCCCGCTCCGACTTAACTACAGTACCCAGGCCGCACCGCGCCGCTCTCCATTCTCTCCGCTGCGCCAGTCCGCCTCACTCGCAGAACCAGTTGGTTTGGCCCAGCTGCTGCTTCTTCTTCTTCTTCTTCTTCTTCTGTGTGCTGCTGCTGCTGTTGCCTGGTGTCAACCTACGCCGACGAGAGAAGAAGACATATCCCTCCCTCTCCTCTGTTTTTTGAGGGCCGCTTTCCAATTTGCTTTCACTCGCCTCCTCGCCGGCACCATTGGCTTCCGTGCCGTGCCAGTCAACTCGCCTCCTTTTTCCTTCCCAGCCCCCGAGTTGAGCAGCAACAAGCTCGGAAACATCTGTCCGCCGCAGAGTGCTAGACTCCCCGTCTCCTCCGCCTGCACGCCTCGGCAGCCTGTTATGGAAATTAGTCCAAAGTCAATCTAGTTTTGTCTCCGAAAAGGAAAAGAAGAAGAAGAAAGGAGGACTTGACGGAGGAAGACGTTGGACCGTGTTGTCTGTAAGTGCTGCCTCTTAACACCGGAGTCCGATTAAAGGAGGCTCATGAGAGCGAGGGAGGGTTAAAAGTAGCTAAACCTTCCTTAGCATTACTGTGTCGTCTCCTCGCGCACTAATACTCGCTGTGTTAGCTCTCGCTCCTCGCTGTTTTAGCCGTTGTTGTCATAGCACCGGGGCCTTCCGAACAGCTGTAAATGTATCAATATTGTAGCCGCTTGGCTTTACTTTTGTTAGCCACGTTCGGTAGCTACAGCTAGCTGCTGGGTCAGTGTGTGTGTGTGTGTGTGTGTTTGGTGTGTCTTCTGCTCACAAATGTGTTGTTGTTGTTGTTTAGTTTGTTGTTCTTTTTTTTTGTTGGTGCTAATTTCCTCGACGGATAAAGTCATTGCCGTGGTTGACTTCTTTTTTCTTTTTTTTTTTTTTTTTTTAGGGGCTGCTTCTAAATGAAGTTAAGAAGCTGTATTATTGTAATTTAGAACAAACTTATTCATCACGGTGTAGACTTGTGTGTGTCAAAGTGTTGGATATAACACTGTCACGGTATTTAAGAAAAAGAAAAATGTTTCGGAAGTAAAAACATAAATGGAAATCATGCATCAGTTATTGTGCAGCGACACACTGTAATTATAGATGCTGACTGAAACTCCAGTGGTGAAGTTAATTAAAGTTTAACTCGTGTGATTTAATGTCTGAACGCTTTTTTTTGTTTGTTTTTACATAAGCTTATTAAAGATTGTAGAACTTGGAGTCGACCAAATGTTTACATCGTTAAACCTATTTCATGTTTTTTTTTTGTAGGTGAATTTAAAAGAAAAGTGAACTTATATTATCCAGAAGTGTTTGTAATTAACTTATAAAGAAACATAATGTTATTTAGCAGGACATTAATGTGCGTACATGCCTCGATATTGTAATAAAAGCCACCGGTATGCTGGACTAGTCCGTTAAACTTGATTAACGGGTTTATTTTGAGAATCGGGAAACAAAGTGAAAATAAGAAAAGAAACCGAGTTTTGTGGCTGGACATTCACGCTCCATACACATATATACATGCACACTTTCAAAGCGAAAGTGAAATAAAAGGCTGTTGTAATAAGTTTCTCCCCGGGTCATTAAAGGCTTGTAGACCTTTTGTTTCGGGACTTGCACTCATCAGGTTCTTTCTTTATGACTTGTTCTCATTGTTTCATTTCTGTTCCTGTCAGTTGTCCGAAGGGTCCGAGGGGGGGGGGGGGGGGGGTAGCTGGGTGGATGAATGAATGAATGAGTGAATACAAGACTAGGCAGCGGCGCTGAACCGTAAAGAAGTGGAAAACAATATCAGCTGCGTGCGTCTGTCAGTTGCAAATGTGCTGTGTTGGCCTTTGTTTATGGTTATTGGACATGTGGAGGAAGACAGGGGCATTTAAACAGGAGGAAGAGCTTTTTACTCAGAACCTCTGTATAAAAAAAACATCAACTTTCCCATTATTCCTGTTAGTTTTTGATAGCAGTTGTGGTTGCACGATTTGATGAGCGACAACTCTTTTCTGTTTTCCAAAAATCAGCACTGCATTTAGTAGACCCGTGTGTGTGTGTGTGTGTGTGTGTTTTTTTTTCCCAGAGAGAGAGAGAGAGAGAGAGGAAAAAGGGGGAGAAAGAGAGACAAAGTTGCGTGGTGTTGGTAGAATGAAAGAGGAGTCTGGTGGCAGGAGTGTAGAGGAGGCAGCATATGGCTGTAGAAAGAGCACAGCTGGAGGTAGCATCTCCATCTGAGGATGATGTCAGAGCAGCTGACAGGCTGCCATCCACCCCACCACCTCCTCCTCCTCCATCCCTCCACCGCCTCCACCCCTCCCCAGTCCTTTATTGTGAGTCTCAGCGGCAGCCTGGGAGAGTTAGTGCTCTGTGTGCCGTGTGTGTGTGTGTGTGTGTGTGTGTTTGTGGCTGCCGATCAGCGCCAGTTAGGAGGAGGAGGAGGAGGAGGAGGAGGAGGGAGGTGGTATCTCGTTCCCCCTCCAACATCTCCTCCACTTTGCATCTGTCCCTCGCAGTTTGAACAGCGTGTTTTTTTTTTTTTGCCTGCCTGCCTGCCTCCCTCTTCTTCTTCTTCTTCTTCTTCTTCTTCTTCTCTCCTCTTCTACCCACTCATTGATTCCGAGAGAGCAAGCAACGAAGAGAGAGAGAAAGAGATACACAGCCATTCCCAGCCAGAGAGCCCAGCTATTCTGCTACAGTGGAGTTAATCAAGTTGATGCATACTGCTGCAGGTATCGTCTTGTGTGTGTGTGTGTGTGTGTGTGTGTGTGTGTGTGTGTGTGTGTGT